TTGTCATTACCAGGGTCGACTTGGCTTTTGTTCAGTTGTGTATAAACAGGCCAAATGGTGCATTTTTTATATGAATCTAGAGGAATCTTGAAGTGATAAATGACTTTATACACCGCTCTCAATAAACGAGGAGGAGTTGTTTGTCGAATGAATTGGGGGAGTTTTTTTTATGTCTTTCATCCAAGAAACATCAATACACTTTAAAACATGTTATTGACTATACGATTGCACAATATAATTAAAAAATATATTTCTTATTTTCAAGGATAATCTATGGATTAACACCCGGGTATTTTACTTTTTCAAACTTTAAAGTTCTGGAAATCATTGGGTTGCGATATAAACCAAAGCAACCCATATTAGGTGTGTATTAAAGATTTACTTTCCTGTTATCTCAAAATCTGCTTGGAACTGCACCATTGGATTTCTATGGGAAATTCCTAACATAAAAAATTCTAGAAATTAAGCAATGTGGACAGTTTACGCAATTTGGGAAATCATTGGCATTATAAAATCTGTTTCAAACAGCATTATATTTATTCAAAAGCGTCGATTACCAATGATTCCCAGCCCTAGTTTGAAAAATTAAAATACTCGGGTGTTAATTCATAGATAATCCTCGAAAATGAGAAACATTTTTTGGATTATATGGTGCGATCTTATAGTCAATAAAATGTTTTAAAGTGTATTGATGTGTTTTTGGATTGAAACATAAGCGAAATGCATGAAAAAAACTCCCCCAATTCATTCGACAAACAACTCCCCCTCCTTTGGCCAGTTTATGCGTTGCAATTAAAAAAGGTTCAGTTAGTCATAAATTACCGAACTATTTTGATTAAGGAAAAGAAGAATCAAGTATTAACAGTATGGGTATACTATCAAATAAAACTTATGGAGAAAATGTATGTCAGAGTGGCTGCAAATATTTTGATAGCCCTACCCCAGCGTTATTGTTGATTCGACAGTTATCTGAGTGGTACCGAGAGATATGACACAACTTATAGTGTCTGTCTTAGGTCAAATATAAGATAACTCTTTTCATCGAATAATCTGATACTTGAATAAATTGGCTTCACCTGATTGAGACGTGTCGTTATTTGAATCAATAAAATGCCCCAAATGAATAGTAATGAATTACCTTTTTGAATTTGACATATTCAAGTTAACTTGACATTTTATTCAATAAGCGATTTTTCGTTTCGAGGAAATGGTTGGTCTAACTCGAATGTCGATAAAAAGAGTCGGTTACAGATAAGGTATTATACGAATACCACTCTCTGACCCTAGTCTAGAGTTGTCGCTTCACAATGTTATCTTGACGATGGTACGTCGAAGCCAGGTACCAGGGAGGTTAAGCCAAACCTTTTCAGAGAACGTGAACGTGAGCGTGAACTATTGCAAATGTGACCAATGTATTAGCTTGTTCTATCTAAAACCTCATTTTTCTATAGTGACTCATTTGACCCGTTGAATCCAGATAAACTATTTGGAAAACTTTCTTTTTGATCTCAAAACTGGCACAACGTTTTAATAAATAGTCAACTGCTTATATATGTGTAGAACCTCTATATCATGCCCCATTCCCAACACGTCATACAACCGGAAGTCTACGACGTGAATCTGGAGCCAAGTTTGGAGGTACTCAATATTTATTTCGACGTTTTGACAGAATATGAGCCTTTCTTCCTCATTGACACATCGTCCATGCTACGCAGAGATGCCTGTACCGCTACTTCTAAAATTTCATCTGAACACGATCTAGAAATTCTCAAAGCTTCTAGAAAGTAGAAACCGGACGATAATTAGAGGAAAAATGTAATTTTTCACAAAGTTCATCATAGTTTCTGACATCTTGAGTTATAGTTATTGTGTGTTATAGCGACTACACTATTATAAAATCATTATACATCATCCAGATATCATGAGGGTCGTGTACGAATACATCATGATATCGTTGCGTTCTATCCTTCATTCACATAGCACATACTTAAATAAGATGTCCTTGGATTTTTATCAAGAAAAACGGAAATAGTAAATTCATTTTCTTGCTTCTATGTTTCAAGTCTCACTCATCAACAAAGCCCGGATGACAAAAACAAGCCCGAATGTAAAATGACGTCGTATTTTGGAAGTTTGTTTTTGTTCGTTGCTTATTGATTCTAGGAAAACGAAAATTTCTTCGTTCTGTCGATATACCCAGACAATTGTGGATTCAACTACACGGAAAGAATGCTAATATACCAAGTAATCTATTGAAGTAGGTTTAGGTGTAAGAGGCGTAGATAATTCTCCCAAGTTGTAATCGTACAGGCAAAATATTGCGCTCGGTCCAGGACTATACTAGTAGTCCTGGTACATAACACATGCTCATCTTATTTTCTTGTAGAAAATAAAGTATGAAGGCATGTAGAAATTTCAGGAAAGTATCGTCACAGTGTTTTCTTTATATTAAGTCTGGTAAAAGGTCAATTTTAACTCCAAGAAATGCTGAAATTTCATGAAAAACATTCAAAATGGACGTCTTTTCAATTTTCCAATGTTTTCTCAAAGTTTCTGAGCAGCACTTGAGTTACCAAGGACCTTTTAACAAGTTTATTAAAATAAGATAATGTGAAAATGTTTCCCTGAAAAACAATGAGATGCACACGTGCCAACATACTTTATTTTCAACAGAAAATAACATGTGCATGTTTATTAATTTTTCAAAAATGTTTTAGTTACACCGTTACCTTAAGCGGTACCACACACCCAGAGTAGAGCTCCCCCTTAAAAACGTTTGTTTCTTGCTTTGCCTTGTGAAGTGCAAAAAATGAACCACAGAGTAAGAGCACTGACGCAGACGAACCCGATGATAATGAAGCAGCTATTTTGTACATGATTTACAATTATACTGCTGCAGTCTATGATGGTGCTTGGTACATTGGAAAGGTAGTTAATGTGGATGGCGTGCTACGAAACAGACGGGGGTAGACACACGGGGGTATTTCCAATGGCCTTCACCAGAACGTAATCTGGGTAGCCAGAACATGTACTTTGGGTAGAACATGCAAACGTTCTTTGCCAAATAGTGGATTTGATTCTCAACTTGAAGAAGTTCAAGTTTTACATAGACTTTGAAAAATATTTGCTCTCGTAATCTAATGACGTCAGATTTCTCAGAGAATTCTGGTAAAATCACCATGATAAGAAATACCTAGTTCGGTCAAGATTATAGACAATTATAACATTTTACAAATCGCTATTACGTTGTTACACGATACTTTCATTATAAATGATGAATGATGAAATGCTTGATTGTGTTTTATATTATATCTTTGTATGCTAAAGCATACGAGGAACGATCTGCCGAGTGATCAGCTCAGAGAAATATACTGCATTTTTCTACTTTTTATTGAAGGGCCTCCTATCATTTTTGTAGTTATTATATTCCAGCTAGCTTTGACTTATCTCATATATAGTCCTATTAGGGACCTGGGCTGGACTTGTCGGGAAATTAGTTCATATCTAGGTCAAGGTCAAAGGTCAAAATCTAGGTCAAATCTAAGTCTTTTTCAAGTTTCTCAAATCCTGACACTACACTTCAATATTTTTCGCTGAATTTTTGCATACAGATAGATTTTAGAATTCTATTCGTCTTAGCCTTTTGCCGTTTAGAGAAATTATGCCTAGATTTTGAGATATTGAAGGTCAAAAAAGGTCAAAAAGGTCTTTTTTCAACTTGCTTCAAATTGACCAATTTTTTTTTAAAACTCATCTTCAAGTTTTCAGGATTCCAAATCTTCGGTTGACCTTCAGTGACCTCCGAAAGATCAAAAAAGTTGATTTTTCAAATCGATTTTTTGGATTCAAATTTAGGTATATTTATTCACAAAAGACCTTCTGAGGTCTAAAAAAGTAAAATTTGCAAGGTCAAAGGTCAAGGTCATCAAACGAAATCACAAACTGTGTTTTCTAAGTTTCTCAAAATTGGAGACTACTAATCAATTTTTTACTGAAACTCAAAATATATATTCCTCTAAAGGTTCTACACATATTAGCAATTAACTATTTACTAAAACTTTGCTCCAGTTTTGAGATATTAGAACTCAAAAACTGAAAAAAGGTCAAATTTCGAAATTTTCAAGGTCAAATTTCATTTTGCTCTAAATTGACCAAACTTTTTTTTAAAAAGCATCTACAAGATCTCAGGAACTCAAATCGGACCTTAGTTTTGACCTATGACCTTTAGTTGACCTTCAGTGACCTTCGAAAGGTCAAAAAGTTGATTTTTCAAATTGATTTTCTGGATTCAAATTTAGGTTTATTCAATCAGAAAAGATATACTGAGGTCTAAAAAAGTTAAATTTTTAAGGTCAAAGGTCAAGGTCATCAAACAAGATCACAAACTGTGTTTTCTAAGTTTCTCAAAGTTTGTGACTACAAATCAATATTTTTGAATTAAAGTCAGGATATATATTCCTCTAAAGGTTTTACACATATTAACTATTGATTATTTATTAAAATTCTGCACCAGTTTTGAGATATTTGACCTCAAAAACTGAAAAAGGTGTAATGTTGAAATTTTTCAAGGTCAAATTTCACATTGCTTCAAATTGACCAAACTTTTTTTTAAATCATCTACTAGATGCCTGGAGTTCATATATGACCTTGTATTTAAGATTTGACCTTTGGCTGACCTTATAATGTTCAAAAAAGCCTACGGGGCCTCCGTAAGATTGCTTGCAATCTTAAACCTCTAGTTGCTATACATTTCAATTGTTCAAATGAATAAAACCCAGTTATAGCGTGTCAATAGAGAATAAGAATAAGTTATGCATAAGGTAGGGTTATAAAATGAATTAACACCATTATTTGAACAAATTGTCTCGTTCTTCCAAGTGTCATTACACGCAAACCTTTTGAGAGTGTACGTTCCCATCTTGATAGAAGATCGTGATTTCATATAACTCTTAGAAAAATTATGTAACTAGTCTCTAGGGTAATGGTTTTATTCTTTTCAGATCTTACAAAAACAGTCCTGACAAACGGCTCAAATCTGAAGAGTTTGCTGTAGAAAGCATGAATACACTTCACGGAAAGATACGAAATGAATTTCGCGTCCCAAAACAAAACACACACAATGTGATTGGCCTCAAAAATGAAGAACTTAAAAAAACTAGAGCTAAGGACTTTGGAACCAAGAATACCACAACGATAACAAAGTATGTTGTCATGACAACAACGACTCCGGATCCAACCATTGATGGAGACATTTCCTGGAGTTATGCATTTTACCTTCCGGTTACCGTGCAGGTGTATGCCAAACTTAACTTTAAAAGTATAGTCGTCATAACTGGGAATTATTCGACATGGGTAACAAATCCAGCGTTGAGAGTAATTCATGATAACTTAAGGATGGACCCAAATGTAAAATTGATTATTCTTGAAACAACGCATAAACTTCAAGCATTGATGGCAATGACATCAAGATTATTGGTCGCGTATTTCGTCCCAGGTTTGAAACCCGATGACATCATAATGACGGCTGACGCTGATTTGTGGCTTTTCGAACAAAGTGGTAGAGACTACGTGAACTACAATAGTTTGTCTGAGATCTTAATTACAAATGCGTTTTGTTGTGGAACGTTTGACTTCGATGGAATTAAAATCCCGCATTATGCAATATGTCATATCTCAATGACCATGGACCGATGGAAAGATGTCATGAAAGTAGACAGTTATTTCAATGGAGTAAACAATGCAAGTGAAGAAAAATACGAAGAAACAATCCAGGTCAAAGGCATTGATCAAATAATTCACAGAATAAACTATGATAATTTTGGTGCAATTGTCAACTCTGAAATCACAACTGCAAATTATATAGATGAAAGATTGATAAGTCAGAAACTTTATGAATATCAAAAATCTTCAAACGTTCCCCTCAAAAAGAAAGAGCTTTTGACTCGGCGTGATAGAATTGATCGCAGCAATTGGCCCCAGGACTCTAACTTCCAAGTAAACGATAAGATTGATGCACATTTGCCTCGAGTATCACTCTCGTTTGATGGGCTGTCGAAAATAGTGGGTCTGATGAAAAAGATATTTAAAGGAAAACAGCTTGATTATGTGTTGAAATATGCAATGGATGTTATTGCTCTGGAAGAACATCATTATGAATTATGGCCTCTCTGGTCCTATCTCAACAAAATCAAATAGCAAACAACAGTTCGATAACGTCATTTACATATTAATGACCGAGTTGACTGAATATGTCAGTTGTGTTAGTTCTCCTTATGATGACTTATATGATGACTTATGAAATGATAAAAAGTTATTGTGTGATTAATTGTTGATAAACGTGATGATATGGTAGATAACTGTGGACAAATGTGATCACACAACTGTGGACAAACAAATAATGTCTTGGGTAATATAAGGTCGTTGCTAGATTGGAATAATACCAAGTAAGGTATTTATCTATCACTGATTGGTATTTGTTGTGCATTTTGCTATATGAATGCTTAAAAACAAGTTTAATTTGAAATGGTTGTGTGTAATTAATACTAGTATTTTTTCGTAAATTCTGTGTCAAAAGTTGTACATACCTAATTTTGTTTGCTCGACCTTAAAAGAGTAAGTGGAATAATAACATTTCGAAACTGTGTCTGTATTACAATGACACTCATGACAGCAAGCATATGATATTTGAGTGTCGATCGCTAGGAAATCTTTGGGTTAATGTTGGGAAGATTTTAAAATGTAATTTTCAATGGAAAAATATAATATTAGGGTTAGCATTTATGTAAATTGGAGTAAAGACTCGGAGGATTATGAAGGACTTAAGGATGTAAATTTTAACAATCAAGCCTTTCTATATTTATCCAAGTATGTTGAAAATATGAGACATATGAAGAAGAAAAATAATGAAGTGCTGCACCTTTTAGAGGACTGCATTAATACTTTTGAACTTGTTTTATTAACAGAGTAGATGTATATCATAGTATATGTAGATATACTTTTTTCACATCTTTATAGACATGTACTTGCTGTGTTTCTTTTTCACGTTTATGTACTCACTGTAGCCTTATATTTTATATTATCACACCTTACTTAACTTTTGTATTCTTGATTAAATGTATATGTAAATATGTTTTAATTTTGAAAATAATAAAAAAACAAAAAAATCAATGGCCACTGTGAGAATAATCCTAAACTTACTTGCTGAAATAGGTACTGTATTTTAGGTGTCTAAAAATATGACTAGAAAATTAAAAAGTAGTGCTACAGGTTTGTGGACAAACAAATCCCTTTTAAAAGGTGCATCATTAATACATATATTGTTATATCTAACGAAGTGGTGTTGAAAAGTGGCCCTAGTTGAAAATAGCAAGGCTCCAAAATGTTGCTCATTTACATTGAGCTCTATGTTAATTAATCAATCTTCAAAAGACCCCCTGCAGAACAGTTTAAGAGTAATAATGCCCATTCTCCATGATTATCTTCAAAACAAGAAGGGTTACATTTTTTCTTTCCCCTAGTTCCAAAGATATTGACTTTTGAATTTTGGAAAAATCCCATTGGCTGCCATTATAAAATGCTAACAATGTGGCTTTACTAAAGTATCCTTTTCTCAAAAAGTCCACTGTGAAATTTTCGAATGTTGCAGATTTCTATAGTTAATATAGTGATTAAAACAACAAACAGGTACATTTCTAAAAATGTATTATTTTTGATATATTAAACTTTTAAAATTATAAAAAAAAACTATATTGAGCTCCATGTTAATTAAACAATCTTCAAAAGACCCCCTGCAGTACAGTTTTAGAGTAAAAATCACCATTCTCCTAGTATGTTACAACTACATGGTTACCTTCAAAATTAGAAGGGTTAACTCTTTCATTTTACCTACTTCCAAAGATATTGGCTTTTGAATTTTGGATATTCCCCATTGGCTGCCATTTTAAACGCATATCAATATTGCTTTGCTAAAGTGTCATTTTCCAAAAAAGTCCACTGTGAACTTTTTTAATATTGCAGATTTCTATAGTTGATATAGTGATTTTAGAAAATCAAACACGAACATTTCTGAAAATTTCTTATTTTTGATATATTTAACCGTTAAAATTATAAAAAACGATATTCAGCCCCATGTTAATTTATCAATCTTTAAAAGACCCTCTGCAGAACAGCTTTAGAGTAAAAATCACCACCTCCCTAGTATGTTACAATAACATGATTATCATCAATATGAGAGGGGTTAATTTTTTTCTTTTACCTACCACTGTGCAAAAAAGGCTATATAGTAATAGAATATCCTGTTAACTATGCTCTAATATCAACTGTCATAGTGTGAAATATCTCCCGTATCTCCCGTGTTGTATAGACACATGCTATATCCAGATATTTGGCGGACAACTAGTATAGTTAGTACTATTTGCCACTCTACTAAATATGAACTAATATAAGCTGTGTTATATATCAAGGCTAACATATAGTTTGTCTACCACTCTATCATATCTACAGAAAGGATATACTAGCCGATTCTATGAACAACAGCTTCTTCTAGCATATATCAGGATATACTATTAAATCAGAGGTCCAAAAACAAGAGATACGCTAACTATACGAAATGACGTCATCACATCTTATTTCTGTAACTTATCTGGCTTATTAATGATTGATGACTTGTTTACATTGATAATTAATCCGTTTGTTAGAGTGAATGGATTAATTTTCTACAACCGAGGGTTCTTATTTCCTTAATAATAATTTTTGAGTTCATTTTTTTATATACATTTAATTGTATAATGTCCCTAATGCTATGATTATAATTGTGTTAAATTTTGAATTTAATTGATCAACTCCATGGAAAGTTATTTTTTAATTATTGAGTTTTCCTCTCGATCGGTTTTACTCTGCAGATTGTTGACACCTGACAAGAAAAGCTATTTAATGTTAAAAACAGTTTAGTAATCTCAAACAATTTGTTTAAAATATCAGAGATAAACACTAGATTAGTCTTTGCGATAAACCTGTTTCTATTTAGAATTTCACCATGACAAATTTACATTGATAATTAATCCGTTTGTTAGAGTTTATAACACATCTCATTGGCGCATTTAGAGATGCAAGTAAATTGCATGGAACTTAATACTTCATAATTCATGTTCTATGTTATCTAGATTATCTGAGATAAACATCAGATTGGTCTCAGTAATACATTTGTTTTTATTTTACACTGTAATATTGATCAGTAATTGGGAAATTCCATTAATGCATATTATTGTAGAATGATGCATACCATCGTAAATGTCATTTTATACTGTAATATTGAGCAGTAATTGGGAAAATCAATTAATGCAAACTATTGTAGAATGATGCATACCATTAAAATGTCATTTTATACAATAATATTGAGTAATAATTGGGATATTCAATCAATGCATACTATTGTTGAAATGATGCACACCATTGTAAATGTCAAGTTACACTGAATATTGAGCAGTAATTGGGATTCGGGATATTGAATCAATACATACTATTGTAGAATGATGCATACCATTGTAAATGTCATATATTCTGTAATATTAAGCAGTAATCGGGAAATGATGTAAATAACATCTTGAGACATGTCAGGGCAAAATGCTAAAATAAATGTTTAATCCCTAATTATTCAATTTCAGTGGAATTAGAAAAACTAATCCGTTGAAAACTAATCCGTTTACTTAAGTTAATGGATTAATTTCTACACAACTGACGGTTCTAAGTTCCAATAAAAATAATTTGCAAATGAATTCTTTAAAATAAATTTGATGGCCTAATGTCCCCAATGCTATGATTAACATTGTGTTAAATTTTGAAATAAATCCATCAACTCTGTGGAAAGTTACTGTTTTAATTTTAATAAGTTTTCCTCTCGGTTTTACATGTACTACATTGTTTCTCTTTCACATTGAGTTTTATATTAATCCATTTGTTAGAGTTTATGCATTAATTTAATGTCACATTTAGAGATACAAGAACAAGCGCATGAAACATAATACTTCATACTTCATATTCTATGTTATCTAGATTGTCTGAGATAAACATCAGATTGGTCTCAGTAATACAATTGTTTTTATTTTACATTGTAATATTGATCAGTAATTGGGAAATTCCATTAATGCATATTATTGTAGAATGATGCATACCATTGCAAATGTCATTTTATACTGTAATATTGAGCAGTAATTGGGAAAATCAATTAATGCACACTATTGTAGAATGATGCATACCATTAAAATGTCATTTTATACAATAATATTGAGTAATAATTGGGATATTCAATCAATGCATACTATTGTTAAAATGATGCACACCATTGTAAATGTCAAGTTACAGAGCAGTAATTGGGATTCGGGATATTGAATCAATGCATATTATTGTAGAATGATGCATGTAAATGTCATATATTCTGTAATATTGAGTAGTATTGGGAAATGATGTAAATAACATCTTGAGACATGTCAGAGCAAAATGCTAACATAAATGTTTAATCCCTAATTATCAAATTTCAGTGTAATGAGTTTTGAAAACTGATCCGTTTATTAAAGTTAATGGATTGGAACTTAGAACCGTCATGACTGACGGTTCAAAGTTCCAATAAATATAATTTGCATATGAATTATTTTAGATAAATTTGATGGCATAATGTCCCCAACACTATGATAAACATTGTGTCAAATTTTGAATTAAATCCATCAATTCTGTGGAAAGATACTATTTTAATGAATGAGTTTTCCACTCGGTTTTACTACATTGTTTCACCTTCAGATTGAGTTTACATTAGAGAACAGAGGCTCCATATTACACAGATACAACCTACAATCTGTATGCCCTTTGTTAAACAACGTGTATTCTCTTATATTTCACAATTCATGTTTTCTGTTATCTATGTATTATAAGTGTTAAAAACAATTTAGTTATCTCAAACAATGTGTTTATAAAATCTGAAAAGCCACCAGATTATAGTCCCTTTGATGAAGTAGTTTCTATTTAGAAATCCACGTGACAAGTTTACATTAATCCGTTTGTTATAATTTATGGATTAATCTCATGGTACTTGTGTGGGGTACTATGATATAAAATTATAGAAAACAGTTTTGAACAATGGAATGTAACTAATACTTATTAACTTTTGTACATACATTTTACCTCACTGAATGTTAAAATCACAAAGTTATTTATCTTAATGACAATTCACTTTATTAATAGACAACAGAGAGGGGATAAGCTTCTCCAATTTGTTTATCTAATAGCTAAAATATTTAACTTGTGGTTAATAAGCTAGATAAGTGATTTTACTTTATTAGCGCTGCAAGCAATGAGACCTGATGACGTCATTTCGTATAGTTAGAGTATCTCCTGTTTTGGGGGTCTGATTTGGGAGTATCTCCTGATATAAGCTGAAATAAGCTGTCTCTAGCACAGGATAGGCTGCATATCTCCTGTTCTGTATATCCAGTACTGTATGAATAGTAAGATATAGTCAGTTTTTTAAGAGTATAGACAGAAGATATTTAATATAGATTGCAAATCTCCTGATCATATCTCCATTTAAATTAGTATAATGTGGGACCTATTCTTTGACATACCATCAAATAATTTGATATAGGTGGTATGATACTCAAATTTGTCCGTATTAAACATTTGATATCTGACTATATTTTAGGGGATTCTAAGCAGATTTGCAAACTATTTATGCAAATCTCTTGAAATAAAACAGGAGATATCGCACATTTTGCACAGTGTACTTCTAAAGATATAGGCGTTTGAATTTTGGAAATTCCCCATTGGTTGCCATTATAAACGGCTATCAATATGGCTTTGCTAAAGTGTCCTTTTCTCAAAAAGTTCACTGTGAAATTTTCTAATATTGCAGATTTCTATAGTTAATGTAGTGATTTAAACATCGTAAAAACCCATATTAATCTATCAATCTTCAAAAGACCCCCTGCAGAACAGTTTTAGAGTAAAAATCACCATTTCCCTACTATGTTACAATAACATGATTATCTTCAAAATAAGAAGGGTTAATTTTTTTCTTTTACTTGGTTCTAAAGATATTGGCGTTTAAATTTTGGAAATTCCCCATTGGTTGCCATTATAAACGGCTTTCAATATGGCTTTGCTAAAGTGTCCTTTTCTCAAAAAGTCCACTATGAAATTTTCTTTAGTGTAGATTTCTATAGTTAATATGTTGATTTTAGAAAAACCAAACAGCAAGTGCAATTCAAGGGTTTCATTGCCTTAACTGGCTCCACTATTATGAAAAAGAAAAAAGAAAGGATTCGAAAACTTTCCTTCATTTGAACATTGGTTAGTGACTAATGACCCAAACTTCAGCAGCTAAAATTGCACACCAAGTAAACTTTTGTGTGCAGTACTGGTACTTTAGTATTACTGATACTTTAATATTATTAAATATCTTATAATGTAAGAAGAACCACACTGGATTGATTTGATTCGACGATAATAACGTCATGATATTTTCGTGTAAATGTATTCTGTTATTATTGATAAGAAATGCAAAAGACCATTAAAATATACAATGACCACGAGAATGTTTATCTTAATGCTCTACTTATGCTAGATTAGTCATCTTAATCCGACCGCTGTATGCTGTTCTTCGATATTCCTTGTTCTTATTTGGATATTTATTTTTTATCATTTTCTTAGCATACACGGTCGTAGATATAATAGCTAACAAATTGCGGGAAAAGCTTTCCTGGCCTGTCTGGGTAACCATACTCACTAAAGTCACACAAATTATCAATTAATTATTTTGCACCAACATCAAAGTGTTAAATCTTACCTTAGACGTGTAAAACGCTTGATAATTGACGAAATATAATCAATTTAAGTATATTTTCAGTATCGACCGCCATGTTGAAAATAAGAAAAAATAAATATCCAAATAAGAAAAAATAACAACAAATAACAGCATATGATGGTCAGATTGATATGACTAATGCTAGATACACATATCACGGTGACCAAGTGATAACAGTGGAGATTGTCCCGGACGTGTTTTTCCAAACGCTTTAGACGAGTTTTTTGGAAAACTTGAGAGGTAGGTTGATAAATGTGGTTATGGAATTGCTGTCACTTGACTTTATGTGAATGTAAGTACTTTATATTGCCTACCATGCTACATACTGTAGCAGGTACCTCCAGGTATTCACAAATGTGTTAGTTGCATGAATCGTATGCTATTGTCTTGTTACAGTAGAAACTGAAAGATTCTGTCAGTGTTTCACACATTTTTGCCTGAAAATCACTTTAAGATAAAGATAGTTAAGTAGTGAATATTATTCCACGTTGTTGAATGGATTGTCTATTTAAACTTAACTAAATAACACTAAATGCAAAGTTAGTACACATTTCTGGGATTTTGGTATATGATTGCGATTACTATGAAGTACGATGAAATGATCCACAAAATAGATACTTGGGTATGAAGGAAAACATCTTAGGTAGTCAAGTTATGTTCGTTTGTAAAATATAGAATATTCTTACATTTTATCACGGTGACTAAGTGTTGACAGTGGAGACTGTCCCAGACGTGTTTTTTCAAACGCTTTAGACGTGTTTTTGGAAAACTTGAGAGGTAGGTTGATAAATGTGGTTATGGAATTTTTACGTTCATTTATGGTCACTTTAAGATAAAGGTAGTTAAGTAGTGAATATTATTCCACGTTGTTGATAGACTGTCTATTTAAACGTTCATATTTCTGGCATTTTGGTATATAATTGCGATTACTATGAAGTTTGATGGAATGATCCCCAAAATAAATACGCAGGTATGAAGAAGAATATCTTAGTAGTCAAGTTATGTTCGTTTGTAAAATATAGAATATGCTTACATTTTTCCTCCATTCTAACGAATGTCGTATTCCATGTTCCAAAAACACGCCTAAATCGTTTGAAAAAACACGTCCGGGACGATCTTCACTGTTAAGACTTGGGCACCGTGCATGAGCTAGTAGTGCTGCTTTATTTTAAAATCAAACCATTACTAAAACGTCCACGTCATTCTAATTTAAATACATTTTGAACTGGTAAACATGTTTATCTCGCCTGATCTAGGTAGGTTGTGAAAATAATATAATATGGATAGAATAAAGCAGCAGACTCATACACTTTGAAGTGTAATTTAATCATATGCTTATGCAACTTTTGTAAAAATGAACACCGCTGAACGCCGTTTATATGGAAGACTAGACCGAGTTACAAGGAACAGAGATGTGGTAGAGAGTTATCATACTATAATGGAAACTTTGCTTTAGGTTTTAATTCGTCATACATTAAAATAAATAGTCAAAAATAAGTTCAACATATTTCCAATTCCTTGCACTCTGTAAACCCCATAATTTTTCGAAATTATTTCATTAATTTGGGAAACTGAAGTGTCTGGATTGTGTATTAAAATTGTACTGTTGATTTTAACAATAATTCAAGATGATAGGGCTAGAATTGAAGAAACTATGTGCTTTCTAGAAGGTTAAAGAAGTTCTAGACCTTTTTAAGACGAAATGTTGAGACGTAGTGATACTAAAGGACCTTTGGTAAAGGTATATCTGCATATCCTGTAGCAATGATTTCTCAAGTTGGGTTATATTTTTGCTAAATGTCCATGATGTATAAAATTGCACAGAGCGTGCCACCTTATTCTAAAAGATATGCCCATCTTCATGGTCAGAAAGATATGCCTGCCTGAACTTATTTAAAAAAACAGAAATGTTCCTTGTCAACTCTACTGTTTGGTGTCAGTGCTATTGAAATCATTGCTTTACTGCATTGTTTGTTGTTGTATGACTTTCAATAACACTGACATGGGACAGTGGAGTTGACAACGTACATTTCTGATTTTTTTAAATTATACCCAATATATAATATTTATCAAATCTTCAGTTATCCTAAATTGTTTAGTTTAGTGAAAAAAATCTCATAAAACAGGGGACAGGGGGGGGGGGGGGGAATGACCAAAGGAAATGTGATGTGAAATGTGAAAAAAACATTTCCATTAATTTTGTGAGTAAATTTACTCCAAAAAATCAAGCGCTGCTTAAGAATCTTTAAACGTTATCGGAATGCTAAAAGTATTTTTAAGAGAATACACACGGTATAAGAATGAAATCCGTTATGTATTCCGCAGATAAAATTTTTAAAACCTATAGTATTTGCTTCAAATCAGTTAATAGTGACATCATACATCTAAAATGTACGAAGGTTTATTTTGTCACCGTACGTTGTCGATGGTTAGGTTTCGTTATTGGGCGTTCTAGGAATTCATTCTATGAACTACAGTACAAATAACCTTAAACAGAAGGGAAAGGTGGGTGAAACAATCTTCTCAGTAAATTGTCTACATATCGAGATTTTAAGGACACGGATACTGAGTTAAATTAAATCGTTATGTCAGGATTTGAAAAAAAATAGTTCTATTTTTGTATTGACACGTTTTTTACACCTCCTTTTTATACAGTAAGTAAGACGAATAGTCATTAAAGTGATGCTATTTTTCAACCGCATCAAAATGAAATCGTTTCATTTTCAAAATTTCCAAGATTACTTTATTTCAAAATAATAAGGATGCTATATATAAAAGGCTCGTAATTCTATAGGTTATCCTAATTATAAGCGAAGCTATTTGCTTTGTAACCCAATTTAGTGACATTTTTCTTATAACCTTTGTTTAAAGGATTGATATCGATGGCGAACTGAATTGAACACACTAGGTTTCTAAGTCTGAAAATTTTCTCATGATAATCCTCTTTTGAATGGTAACAGTTTAAATTGAAATGCATATATATATACTTTTCTCTATATTGTTTTAGAAAGTACATCTGACACGTGTTTTGTTCGTGGTATCATATATTCGGAATGACACGAAACATCTATCAGAACCTCATTGGAACAAAACGACATATACACAGCGTGTTTAGGTCTCCCAATATTGTAAGGAAAGTTTGGTTGATTTAAAAAACGTATCCTGTTAATGAAACAAACGGTTTACTTTCTTGGTTTTTATCTATTTTGGAGTTTTGTTTTAATTTTTTGAATACTTTTTTTAAAATCAACCAAATTTTGCCAACTATAATATTGAGAGGTCTACGAAAGCTATTTTGTTCAAACAAGGTTCGGAACGATATTCTATTTCATTCTCAAGAATTGGTAGAAAGGAACAAAAATAATTGCACTAAAAAATCGAAAAAAGTTAACAAAAACAGTTATAAAAATATATTTAACTAATTTTCGCAATAACCTGTTGTCAATCAGAGCATAATTGCATAAATATCTGTGTTTTTTACAGAATGTTTTCAATAATTGGTTTAAAAGAAAATCAATGTTAAATTCAGTTCGCCAAATCGATACCAATCCGTTGGATTTTATTAGTTTGCATAACAAAATGATTGGAATATACAAGTAGATCTTAATTACTTAGATAAGCTGAAATCGAAAACACTGAACTGAAAACACTGAAAACTGAAGACACGCGTGTTATCATTGTTTACCCAGGCATACGTACAAAAGCACATTAAACAAATCAACGCGGATCTCTTACACTCCCCAATACAAATCAACTCTTCAACTCGATAATGTAATCTCGCATCATACGAAACACGATTACTCGTAATAGAAAAGTGTCTTTGTGCACATTTAGAATGAAGCATCTAAAGAAAATCATGCTGTCTATCATTTGCCTTGCAGTGATTGGAATGGCGCTAAAACAAATCTGGTTTGACAAAGCACAAGGTAAGCATTTCAAACCGGCACACACGAGTTCAAAGCAAAACGCTAACATTCATTCACATTTCATTGCAATATCCGACAACCGTGTTACGATAGAACAACATTTGGATGAACACAGATCGACGAGGATTCGGGAGGGTCATTTTATAATGCCCCAATCTGGCGAATTCAAAGACGTTACTTCAAGTCGAGATGATTATTTTATTCACATTGCCACAGAGCATAATATTAAAACGTTGCTCTTTCAAATAATGGATTCTGTCAAAGATGGGTATGGTTTATATCAATGGATAGGAAGCAAGTCTTTATGTACGGCACTTGCCGATAATAAAGTTAAAACACCATATTCTAACTCATGTACGACAAATATGGAGCAGACCTTTTCCGCACAGAAACCTGAACGTAAACAGCGATTCAAATTACCACTAAATTATACACTAACAGAAGAAATATTCCAAATGGAGACAATATCTAGTTTCATTCATATAATACAAAATGGAATCATCTCGAAAGATGGTGTGGTTTTTGTCGGTGGCCTGCACGTTATACCGTATAGTTGTCTCGACAGACCCGAATGGATTCAAGCTTCTAAAGAACATTTCAAGACAACAATTAAAGATAATCTGGATAAGTTGCCCCGTTACGAAGAAGTATTTGTAATAACACAATTTTGGTCAGGCGAGTTTTACCATGGAATGGTGGAATCTCTCCCAAGACTATCACGATATATAAGATTTATAGACAAACGCAATGATATCAAAATATATGTCGCTTGCACTTCGTTCATGAAGTCATCACTCCAGACTAGGGTGGTCCAAAATATGGTGAAAAACCAACTTTGTTTCAGATCATCTTCCTCATTTCACTTACTGTTGTCCATGACCTAAAACACCTGCACACCAAATTTTAAGACCCAAATCACATGGGAAATTTACCCACGCTTCGACTGAAAATTCGGTTATTTCATGATTTTTTGCTATTTTCGATAAATTGTCATCTCCCTTTTCCTGGTATAATATGTTTCTATTTTTTCATAATAAACATTTTGGTAGGACTCTTTATTACTTCATAATACTAGGAACCCATACACCAAATGTTGAGACCCAAATCCCATGGGAAATTTACCCACGCTTCGACTGAAAAATTCGGTTATTTCATGATTTTTTGCTATTTTCGATAAATTGCCATCTCCATTTTCCTGGTATAAAATGGTAGATGTCTTTTCATAATAAATATTTTTGGATGACTCTTTATTACTTCATAATACTTAGGAACCCATACATCAAATTTTGAGACCCAAATCCCATGGGAAATTTACCCACGCTTCGACTGAAAAATTGGGTTATTTCATATACAATACAATACAATACATCTCTATTTTCCTGGTATTATTATGTTTCTATTTTTTATAATAAATATTTTGGGAGGACTCTTTATTACTTCATAATACAAGGAACCCATACCCCAAATATGCACCAAATTTTGAGACCCTGGCCCCATGAGAAATTAATTCATGCTTCAACCAAGAATTTGTGATTTTCTGCGAATTTTCTCCTAGTTTCAATAGATCAACATTAATCTTATATTTAGTTTTTAAACATTTTAGGAGGACATTAATACGTTCTTAATACTAGGAACCCATACATTTAATATGTACCAAATGTTTAGATCTGAACCCCATGGGAAATTCACGTTTGCTTTGATCATATACTTTTGATTTTTGTCGTTAAGAGCACCATATCATTGTTGTGTGATGTGCAATTTGTAATAAATTGTATTACACGTTGTCTTAATTATCCTGTTTGGCCTTACATACGTTACATCGTGAAAGATGGTTATATAGTACTTTAAGGTAATTCCTTATTTTCAGTTTTAATGGCTTCCTAATTGGAGCCCCGTGTTTTTTCAGGAACACATAACTCATTCCATTCAAATGCACAAACAGTGTATAAACATAGCACATAGTACATTATAGAAAATTACTAACCATCAACTAATAATCTAAATACATATTTGAACTCAGTGTAAAATTGAAAGAACTGACCAATTATGGAATGAGTTCCAGAAATAACATTGGACTCCACTTAAAATTTCTGAACATACAGAATTACCTTAAGTGTTTCTCATTGCTCTTCCTATCTTCTACATAGTGTACTTTCAGGGCATGAACATTTTCACAGAAATGACCAAGCTCAGTGGAAGCTCGAATCCCTTGAAGATTTGGTACAGGCTTACTGGTTACAACAGAGACCATGCCATTAATTGATACATTGATCAATCAAAAAATCATTTCTCCAAAGAAAATCAGATTTGATATTTGACCTTACCCTGCAAAGATGTGAGAAAGAATATGACATCTCACACAAATCCAAACAAAGTCCTGTGATGTATCCCTACTGAAACCAACAAACCAAATCTTCAAGGCATTTGAGTTGCTGTCGAGTCATCACTTCTTAATATTAACCACAGTATATAAATGTACAAGTAAAAGATCCTAAATTTTCTACTAAATTTGTCGCCTTTCAATAAGACTTAAAGTCTTGATATTCAGGTGTTTCTTTGGATTAAGAAGGAATTACCATAATGTTTATTAACATATTATGCCCCTAAAACAGACATCATAAGCTATCATTAGCACCAGTTTTCAGTCAGAGCATGGGTAACGTTCTCATTGGATTTGGGTCTCAAAATTTGGTGGATATTTGGTGTATGGGTTTTTAGTATTATGAAGTAATAAAGAGTCCTCAAAAATGTTTATTATAAAAACATATCGTACCAGGAAAATGGAGACAGCAATTTATTGAAAATCGGAAAAAATGTGAAAATCACAATTTTTCAGTCAAACCATGGGTAAATTTTACAAGGGATTTGGGTCTCAAAATTTGGTGTTTGTGCTCCTAGTATTATTAAGTAATAAAGAGTCCTACAAAAATGTTTATTATGAAAAAATAGAAACATTTTATACCAGGAAAAAGGAGATGGCAATTTATCGAAAATAGCAAAAAATCATGAAATAACCGAATTTTTCAGTCGAAGCGTGGGTAAATTTCCCATGGGATTTGGGTCTCAAAATTTGGTGTGTAGGTGTTTTAGGTCATGGACAACAGTAAGTCAAATGAGGAAGATGATCCGAAAGAAAGTTGGTTTTTCGCCATATTTTGGACCACCCTACTCCAGACTCTATTTCCCTCTAGAAATATATCTGAACTGGTAATATGTGATACAATTGGACCAATACTCGCAGCTAGAGTGTATTTCCCGGAAGGTACGCCCTGTGGTATGTATAAATACCCCGTATCGGGAGTATATCAGATGTCGAAGGAGTTAAATAAATACATAAGTCCAAGTATACCTATACCACCCAAAAACTATATTATCTTAATAAAAAGGACCAAACATAGAATTTTAGTTCAGCACGACGAAATAGCTTCATTTCTCAATGATATTGCGAAACAGAACGATATGGAACTTTTCATTTACGCAGACGACAACCTTCCATCATTCTCTGACACGAGAAAATTGTTCCACCAAGCCAGACTCGTGGTTGCACCACATGGAGCTGGACTAGCGAACACTTTGTTTTCTACTCCGGGTTTGTTTGTGATTGAGATAGTGTGTAACCATCCTCATCTGAATTTATGCTACAGAGAGTTAGCAATTTCCCTCGGTCATCATTATCATGGTGTATCCTCGCAGTTCGGTTGTGAATCTACACTGAACGTCGATGTCAACGAAGTAAAAGAAGCCATTCAGTTCTATATAAAACATATTGTTAAAAAGACGAAATCATGATTTGGGAGATTATATTGCAGCGTGGTTAATATAAAACTACGGAAAGCAAAATATACAATGTACAAACTGTACTGCAACCTTCCAACTCTGAAGTCGTTTAATTTTATTTAGGGAGAGAGAATTGAATGCAATTCATACGGGACAACTATAGCCTATATATTCATTACATCAATCACCAAAAATAGTTCAATGTTTATTGCGCAGTCAGTTCGCGCATCTCTTATACCAAAAACTGGATCTGATGTAAAGATTCATATATGTTGATTTGAAAATGTTCCGGATGTTGAAATGCAGCATGACGCACATATTAAGGCCCTGTTTTTTTAATGTTTTTAAACCTCGAGAGACTGGGTTCAAAAACCGGCAGAATCTACTTTTTCATAATTTAAACGCAACAATACATTTTCTCGATATCGTTTCACATAACACACTCATGTTGATCTGTCAAGACTTTTTTGGGCATTATAACTCATTATATAGAATGGGTTAATAACATGTTCCCACTGATTCATGATATTCAAAAAAAATCAAGATCCGAACGGTGAATTTTCAGATATATTATTTTAAACACTTATGTAGTCTCATAGAATGAATCGATCACAATTTTTTGAAGAAGATCTTCATTGTGCTATTTGTGCTTTCAAATAAAAAGGAATTTCCCATTGAGAGCAATATTAATTTAAAACATTTTTTAATTTTCTGAAATTAATAAACAGTCAATCTTTCATATTTTGTATACATTAGTATATCTTTCACCTTGATTTATTTAAGAAATCATTAATTTTAGGAAAAAGTCGGTCGACATTGTAGTTTTACCTTAAAGCCCCAATTCAAAATTTGAAAATATGTTTCTATCGTTAATTTGCTATATTTCATGACTGCATGACAAAATGTCCACGTCTTTTTATTTCTCAAAAATTCAATTCCCTGCCATTTGCAATATAAGAATAGAATTATTTTATCATCAACCTTTACTCTACAACGAAAAACATATTCATAATATCTATATAATATATATAATGTATATATTATGAGGTTATATAATGGTTCTTTCTGTATATCCTGTTTATACTCGAGTGAGTATATAATATATTCACAAGTGAGCGTAGCGAACGAGTGAATATATTATATTCTCACGAGAGTATAAAATGCACGATATACAGAATGAACCATTATATAATCTTATTATGCCACTCTAAGTTCAATTACAGTTGATTCGAACACAATCATAACTATTAAAAACCATAAAAATATCCCATAGCCAACTCAATAATGCTGATGTTGATCTCGAACCATTTATGACGTCACTTGATTCTAGGAAATCATGAAAATTTTCATGATTTTTTTTATTCATTAGTTCCCAGAATGCACTTCTACAGTGGTATACGCTGGAGTGTATACGGAGGAGTTGTATACGATGACGATATACCACTCTCCACTGTATATCGTTGTTATAGACCCATGTTATACAACTGTAATTGGACTTAGAGTGGTATAAAATGAATTATCATATTTAATGTGCTACTCGGTCTTGGCATATCAAACAATTGTTTTGTCAATATTTCCTAAATATCTTAAACTTTCAAAATAAACCAGCTTTAATTTTCTACTAGGTTGACAAGAAGATAATATTAGGTTTTGAGTGTACAGTTGGTTTCTTAGATTTTTTAGATTTTATTTATTCCTCTTCACCCAATTTAGGGTATTAGAGTCTCAAACAGTACAAATTTTAGCAACAATAATTAAAAATAATGTAACAAATATATAAACAGTACCTTATTATTTTATAAAAACAATTCTAACCAGTCTATTGGAAACCAACCCTTGCATAATCTACCTTATATCACATTAGTAACATAATTTTGAAATTTTCGACTTCGACACAATAACAACCAATCTCTACACCATACGGTCAAGCCAGGTAACTTAGTCAACATTCGATATTCGTATGTTCATCAATATTAACTAAGAATGGTGCCACAATTGAAGTAAACCTCTGTTTAATTATTTTCAATAAACCTATCAGCAAACGTGTAAATGATAAATTTGATGTTCTGTTATATATTGGTGAAGCAATCTTGGGGATATGGCCTGAATTTTTGAATTTCCACTATGTCCCTGTATACCCCTACTTCAAAAGATGTATGTTATTGGTCATTTTTCATTATGAATCAACCATTATGTATTTTTTCTTGTTTACATACAGAATGAACTTTCTGTTTTCAAATATTGAAAGATGGTACTGCATCTATTTTTTCATGATATGGAGCAAACAAATGCGTGTCAATTTACACTGTAATATCCCACATACTTATATTTCAAGGGTAGTTTTGAAGAATAATCTTGCAGATTTTGGCGATCTATCATTCTAAAAGGCTAAATTTTGTGCAAAGCAGGAGTTGACACGCTTACATTTGGAATTGAAATTTCCTACATAATTGTCGACTCATGTTAAAAGTCATGAAAACAAGGTTGAACACAAAACAATGACCTAATTACTGTCTATTTAGCATGGGATCACTTAGGGAAATATTATTCATGACTTAAATCGTTAACAGTTAAGTTGTATCCCAAGAAACTTATCAATTAAGAAATGCAAAATGTTCAATTTTGTTTTTCAATTATAAAAATGGCACCTGTAGAGAACAACGTTTACAAAATTATTCAAAACGGAGATATTTACTTATGTTACATTCGTTGGCATGTGTCAGCGAGTAAACAAGAAGAATATGCATTTGATTCTATATCTTGTTCCCTAAGGAGTTTGTTAAGGAGCGGTATATCTAAACGTACTTTTATCATCCCGAACTCAAATATTTCGAATACTTATTTCGAGAACGCTTTGTTGAGAATGGATTCGAGATGTACTCAAAATTAATACGTTAAAATGTGTATTTTCGTCTTAATAACCACCTCACAAATTATTTTGGAAATCAAAGATGTACGATTTTTGAGATTTTTATTTTCGAATGTTGACTTACTTACTCGGCTTGACTGCATAGCTAAAAACGTTTTAAATAAATACATGATTTACCACAAATGATGCTTTGTCATAAATACATTTGCCTCCTTAATAAAATGTGCCAGTTTAATTAACAACTTTCTTTTCCTAGTCCTCATTAGTTGACCAAACTTTAAGGTCTTAACATTATACAAAAATATCTAGGCAAAAATTGAATTCTTAAATGCTGAAGAGTATGGAATGCAAATCCTGCCAAAAGTCTTCGGCGTCCTATAACTATGCTAATCTTAACGAAGAGTATTAATACGATAAACAACGTTTACGTTTAATAAAATTGTGGTAAATGGTTGTATGGGTTTTAGTTTCTTACTTTACGTAAAGTTAATATTAACTTTACGGAAAGACTTATGGTTGTTTCCTTTAAGTTTCGTACTTTACTATAGAAAACTTCTTAAAGAAGGAAATTGTCTCTTTTACTGTTTATTATGGAATGCAAATCCTGCCAAAAGTCTTCGGCGTCCTATAACTATGCTAATCTTAACGAAGAGTATTAATACGATAAACAACGTTTACGTTTAATAAAATTGTGGTAAATGGTTGTATGGGTTTTAGTTTCTTACTTTACGTAAAGTTAATATTAACTTTACGGAAAGACTTATGGTTGTTTCCTTTTAGTTTCGTACTTTACTATAGACAACTTCTTTTACTGTTTATTGTCTCTAATTATCGTTCTTTCCTTATTGTAAAAAACTGAAAAACTTAGCGTTCTTTCCTTATAGTGAAATAAACTTTACGTAGAGACTTTATCGTAGTTTCCTTTAATAAAGTTTACGTAAAGATTTAATGATATACTTGAAATATAGATGGCATTTAAACATCGTTGAGTCGGCTCTAATAAATGTTACAAAAAGTGTAAACGGTGTGTTTGACATAAAGATGGCACTGGATTTAAAATTTCGGAAATTGAGAATTAAACTTTACGTAAAGTTTTAATGATCATTTGGAAATATAGATGGCTTGGAGTTGACATATCGGAAAGTTCGATAAACTTAACGTAAAGTTTTAATCGCAGATTATTGAATATAGAGGGCATACATGGAAAATATTAGAATACATTAAACAACATCGTGCAGTTTCAAATAACACGCCAGCGTATGGATATATTTGTATGTGGTCGCTATTGTGGACTTTTTGTTACATGGCGTTCAGATCCTTATCAAGACAATAGCTAAAATTAAAATTTCAAACGTCATCTATCATAATAATATTAGTTTTTAACTATCTATTTGATCACCAAACGATCCGATCATGAGATTTTACCAGCAATGTTTATTTATTACATATGAAGTGTCAATAACTACTTAGTATATTCCTCAATATCAAACTTTGTTTACATTATTTAATATATTCCTTACAAGACAAGTATCATTATGATAATCACTTATAGAACCGTGTCGTTATTCAAGTATCCTTGTAATCTGTTTCAATTAAGCAAGTTGGGTATGATAGCTACTGTACGTACTTCAGATATATCTCTACACTAGAATAGGATAGTTTCTAAATAGCAGAAAAATCAATGAAATCTCGTGCTGCCATCTTTTATTCAGCTTTTAACTCTGGCTAGAGCTCCATTCACTTACATGCTAAAATCTTGGAAAAGTGGCTTAATTTCATGATTTATCAAAGTGTGTTTGTTGAATCTGTATAAAACTTGAATGATATACCACATGATGACCCTGTTTATGAACATGTTGTGATTAAACATGCTAATGTTGATTGACATACAAATAATCCACGGTTTTAAAGAATTTTAGCATTGCATCTATGGACATTTGGCCCAACTTTTTTTAAATTGTCATAGAAAATTATTCAAATTACATAACTGTGTAAATCAAAGCTATTTTAGGAGAAAACATTCCACTGAATTCAAATATACCATTTAAAAGAAGGTAATGTAAGTCATTAGAGGTCTAATATGCAAGTCTCTTAAAATCTTACGAAAAACGAGATTTAGCGAGATTTCAAAAGCTATATGGAAACTATACTATTGAGGCAGAGGCAGGACAAAGCTAGAAGTTTTGGCATTGGTCCATCCTGCACATTCTAATAATATTCATTTGTATTGGACTGATTCAATTTTGCTCTTCACTTGATGGTACTAAGGCTCTTATTGAATGTGCAGCGAAAACGCATAACAGCAGGCCCGTAGCCAGGGGGGGGGTCGCAGGGTTCGGGCGAACCAAAATTCTTTCAAAATAATGCATTTTTTCACCATTTTGACTACTTCTCAAGTGATTTAAGCCATATTTGGGCCAAATTATTTGTCAAATGTGAACTCCCCCTGGAAATTTTTAAAAACTGAACCCCCCTTTGACAAATCCTGGCTACGGGCCTGAAACAGTCCTTAATACATTGACAGATTGAAACAGAAAGATGCTATGAGTATCAGAATGTTTTTTCTTTTAAAATAGTCTTTATTCAGCCTTTGGTTATTTTACATAACATAAACAATGACGTAAAATAGAAAATTCATCATACACTTTTCATTTTAATAGTTTTAATACAAAATTCCACTTTGAACAATAAAATACATTTTTTCTATAATAAATTTCATATTTTATCAATGTCTGAATATTTATCCTATAAATAGGTTTTAATAGGTATACTGATTGTAAGCGTTCATGCATGGAGTGGGTTGGCTCACGGCCAGGCCAGATCAATTGAATTCATTCAGTCAAAACATGATCGATTGAGCAGGACGCTTCGGATTTTATATAGTCAATTTTATACGTTTTAATTATTTATTACAAATTATGGCTTTACAAGACACACAAGAACAAGGTAGACGCTGCACACAATGCAAGGAGCTAGTTCGTGGACATAAAGGTCCCATAGGACCAAAATGTTCAAACTTAGAACTCATGATTTATCATTGGTTTCTCAACCTGGCTTCGGCTGCCGCTCTTAGCAGTTCTCTACTATGTACAGCGGTGTTTCCACTGGTGGGGGCCGGGGGTGAAGTGGTGGTTGCTGTTCTAGGTGCAGCAGTCGACGAAGTGGTGGTTGCACTAGTGCGAGAGGTAGTCATTCTGTCTACCTCAAGACTTTCTCGTAACTCCATGTCTTGTAGTTGTCTTAAATCAGCCCTTTCTCTTCTTTCATTTCTACAATAACAATAACATAGTTACATAATAGTACCCCTAATAAGTTTATTGCAGTAATTTCAAAATGGTACACAGTAGCCAATGCTTTACCAAATTGCTACATTGTTTCAATGAATATGATGCTAAAGTTGTAGTAAATTTATGATTCAACCATGACAACAACCAGTCAAGCAGATATCTAGGACAAGTATATCAAAAATAAAACGTTGTTGGTGGACCTGTCTCACAGGCAGACTATGATACTCCATTTAAAAATAACATGAAGTCATACTTTGATGGAGTGTTATCCTTCATATAAGTGATAAGTTAATAAAAATTTTAAAATCAACAATACTTAATTTTGATTCTATGACGTCAAATTGGTTAAAAAACATTTATGACACACTTGGTTCAGTTGCTTGTGTTTGTATTGTTATTGAAGTAAAATAAAAACAAAAAAGGACGATTCTCGGTTTGGAGAACAGTCTCCTGGGCTAATAATTTTTTTCATGAAAAATATAGAAATATTACCCAAATTAAATTATGAATATTCAAAAGAGGACATTTAAATCTACAAGATGTAAAAATAACAAATTGGTCTGAATCAGGGATAACACTCAATTAGACCGATTCAATAAAATACAAGTCTGGATTTGGGGAAAGAAGTTCATCAGTGTACTGCGCTAATATTTTTTGCGAAAAATTTAGAAATATTACCCAAATTAAATTATGACTATTTAAAAGAAGACATTCAAATATATATTATGTAAAAAAATCAAATTTGTCCGAAGCAGGGATAATGCTCATTTAGATTGATGAACTTAGTTCTCCAAACCGAGAATCGTCCTTTAAAATGTTGGAAATTGCCTGTAGTTTATGTCTGCTTTTGATAACAAATAGTATGTCTTCTGGTAGATCTATGTTAAGTTCTAAACTATAATTAAAACCCTGTTTTTCATATTTACAACATGAACAAAATGTACTAATCTTATATTTTTGATAATGCTTAGGCCTATCTTTTCAAATTAGGCATTGAATTACAATTGATACATTGCCACTCTCATGACCTTTCTTCTCGTTCAATCACAGTGTCAGCTTTCACTTCATTCTGTATTTGCATAGCATCCAAATGTTTATGATATTTCTTGGGAACTACGAACTATTCAAGGGGCTTTAATGTTTTTGATTACTCTCTTTAGACGAGTGTGGTATTGTTGCATTATCATGATTTTACAAAACGTACCTTGCACTCCTTACTTCGTCTATCATCCGTAACGCCGCTTCCATCGCCGCCTTCAAATGGTGCAAGTGATCTCCATCAACTTTAAGAAAAGTGTCGATATCATATAACAGACTTCCTTATCGAATCTCAACAATTTATAAAATTTAAAAACTTTTATATATTTTACAAATAACCTCATTCCTAAGGGCTATGTTTCTTGCTTAGTACAAATAATAAAATAGTACTAACCCGGGAGTACTAATACCCTGAGAATACAGTGTAGGATTGCGTGGTGGTGATGATTATTGATGTATGAGGAGATTTTGTACCATCCAGCGTTTTAATTATAACCTTTGATTACACTTACGCTTAACTCGTTTCACTTTGCTAACATCACTTCCACTGTTGTTGGGCACGAGAATAACCAAACGGGAACTCATTGAACTGTCCATAATGTTGTGAGTAATTCGAACTGAAAATATTTTAAACATGTTGAATTAGTTATGGCAACTCAACCCAAGTCGAGGTTATTAATAATATGCTTATAGGATAGACTGACATGACAAATGCAATACTGTAGTATTATGTAAAATCAGAACCACAGCTTCTAATACACAGTAATATAAAACTGGCAAATTTAGAAATGATTTAAAAAGTGTACTTGCTAAATACACAGAAGATTAATTTATTTTTCTATTTGCATGTATTATGAGAACTACATTTGATTGCCTTCTTGCAGTAGTACTAGTATTCACGATTTAATTTTGCTATTTTTAATTAACGAATCAGATTGTATTGACTGACTCTAAACATGTTGCCATGTTGGAAGTCAGCTTTAGTAAGAATTATTTATTGTATTCAGCAACATTACTCTTTTGAAAGTGAACTAGATTAGATCAGATATTGTGTCCTTATAACTACAGCATACTTACAATGTATGAGTTCATTTGTATTGCGTGGGATCATCAGAACAACTGCATCTTGCAATGCCTTAATAACAGTACCATCGCATACCTCCCTGGAAAATAGAAAAAGCATGCTTCAGACCAACCTTCTTCAAAAATGCCCAATTGTTCTCTAAATTCAAAGAAAATATTGCACGATGATGATATTTCAGATCGAATGTAATCTAGTATTCTGTACTACTGGATCAGTTATTAGATTCACTTGGACATAATTTGCTACATAGGATCAAATATTATGCTAAGGGTGTGATATGTCCAACTTGGCTGGAACTTAAAAGTCCTCTTAACGGATGAAAAATTACTCCGACTTGCTTAAATATTATTACATGACATATGAAAATATAAAAGTATGAAATGACAAACCTGTGATCTGTGTTAGCAGATGGAATGTACACAGCCAATGGCTTTAAATCAGCCAGACATTGAGACACTGCCTGTAATATTAGAATATTATTGCTTTATTAATCATCTTAACGGGTTCAATGATGATTTTGGCTTCACATGTATATATTCTTCTTTTTATTGGTCCAAGGCCTTTGTATCCATTCGTTAAGAAACAATTTTCTTCATATAATAAATAATATGGAATTCAAATTCGAAATCTTTAAAAAGACCAACAATTGAAATGTTATTCCATTTCACAAGGATCAAGTTTCAGTTGCTTCAACTTGGAAGTCGAAGATGAATTTATTCTGTACGAGGTACATCTATACTTATAATACTATTGTTATTGGTTATTTAAACTCCCAAAACATTTCATGATTCAGGCCCGTAGTACGGCTTTTGCCAATGTGAGGAAGAGGGGAGGGGGGGGGGTCAATTAAAAAAATGTCCAGGGGGATTCACTTGGGTTCGCTCGAACCCCCCCCCCCCCCTGGCTACGGGCATGTAATCAATGGTTGGTCTACTCAACGCAATAGTTTTTACAGTCTCTGGCTGGAAATAATCGTGTTGATCTCGGTGAGTCAACTAGAAACACAGATACTTACTTGGCTGAACAACCCAAGATAGAAGACAGGGTGCATACTCCACAGTCTTGCCATATCATCTATCATGCTGAGCTGATGGACAACTATCTGTTGTCCGTGAAGATCCGTGCTAGCTGCCCCTTAATTGCATTCACTCTATTACTGTTATGCAAGGCATTTATATATACATGTATAAACGCATATGCAAAATCACTTAAAATATTTCCGATTGGTAAACGTTAGTTAGTAAACAACTTGATGAACATGCTGATGTGGTCAACAACTTTTCAAACGCTATTTTGATATACAATTGAATGCAAAAAGCTGTTTGGAGGTACGTACCAGAAATTGAATATACTCCATTGTTGGAATAATCTTCTTCAATGCGCCCTGGAAGAAAAACAAAACCATGTTCATCGATAGATTGATCCAGGTGGTTTAGCGATTTAATAATTATCGTTTGGGAGATGCTTTTGAAGAGCTTTTATCATATAATATTATGTAACGGGTCCCGATACCAATACCCCAATATATAAGGGTTATGTACTGAAAGGTTTTGTATACAGTGTTTATCCCAAGGGAAATGTGTGTGTTTCCCCAGGGACCGCAGGGACAGAGGGAGATATAGAGGATATCCTATGATTTATGAGTGATATGATTTTTATACACGAATGGATATAATATCAATATCCATGAGTGGATTTAAATCATATCACGAGTAAATCATAGGATGTTATTTTTATTCCATAGTTAAAGCCATCATCAGAAACGTCGGAAATTAAGTGATTTAATTCGAATTTTCCAAACGATCCGGCGATGTTGACACTTAGCCTCGTTTTGAGTCTGAAGTAGCAAAAATCCATAATTCATAGCATACGGCGCCGTATGTCATGGCTAAAACACCGTACGCTATGGTTAAATGAAACTTTGTGAAAAATATCATATTTTACCGCTGATTACAAAAATACCGTTTTTATTTTGACATGTTATCGTATGACTATCATGCTAACTATGGAATAAACACATTTATCCCATACTTGGACGTGTTACGGGTACATAAAGCCGGTTTGTAAAAACTTATATTTTCATCAGCGGGCAGATATAGCTTTACGTCCCGCTCCGAGCGGGCAGATATAGTATATCTGCCCGCTACATCATAATCGCTGTTCCCGTATTGGTTCTTTTTTGTAACGTTCGCATACTGTAAACGACAATGGAGAAAAACGCAGACATTCGCGATCTGTTTGATGCTTTAAAGAAGGGAAGGAGCAGTATGCCCCGTTAATAATCAAAGATTTGAACAGGAAAATCCGGCTACGGACAAGAATACAAAACTGGACATGAATATTTGAAAATAATTCCACGGTTGGTTGCAAAGTTTCTGAGCTTTGGCCAATTGAACAATGTGATTGGTATGGGATAAACAGATCATCCTATGGTCGGTTCAGGATATTTGGATTATCCCTTGGCCAATATAATATATCTACCCTCGGGACCTACGGCCCTCGGGCAGATATATTATATTGGCCTCGGGATAATCCCAATATACTGAACCTCATATAGGATAATCTCTATATATCCCGCTGGATAAACCCTGTATCAAAAACAGACCGTACATAACAGATGTATTTAATACCTACTGATCGTTCTAGGTACATCTATACCTCATAAAGTTCAAAATTCCAAAACATACTTAAGGTACGCGTTTTCTTGGTCTTAAAGTTTGCGAGATTTTCAAAAATTTTGAAAAGATAAATTTAAAAAAATGTCAAAAAAATGTTGACTAAAAATTTAAAAAATCCATCCCGGGCCTTTGTGATAGCTCCCTAGATACACTATATATTCCCGCTCGTTTACATAGAATCTAGTAGGTATGAAATACAATAAGTTACTAAGTCTTGTATTTATACTTGTGAAAAGTCTCTGAATTTGCTCCTAAGTGAAAAATAAATTATCTCATCGGCACCAACAATCCAATACACCGTTAAAAGGCTAAAAGTGTCCGCTTCAAGAAGCTGACCTCCATTCGAATTTTTCTGTTATTACGAAAAGAAATGACATCCTTTTATCCCCAATTGTTTTTTTATTTTCAATCTAAAAACATTCCGCTTTGGGAATAAAGGGTAACTTTCTATTTCTTTTAATCAACCATAATTTCGAGCGGATGTCTGATTCTTAAAGCTGACACCATTAGCTTTTCCAAATGTGTACTGGAACCTTAGTGTAGATGAGGTCATTTATTTGACCTTAGTTTGTATATCCATTTTAGCTGCCCTGCACTGCATTATATATTCAGAGCCAAATGTAGTTCTAAAACTACTAGTTGCGATACACTTCAAAAACGAAATTACCACATTCTTGCGTAAACTAGTATAAACGACTTATAGTCTACAATCAACGTTACGGACAATTTTTTCGAAGAAAGCCTTATAAGATTCAATGGTGAACTTAGAACCGTGACCTTTCTTAATAAACAGTTAGTTAGATGGGTTCAAGTACTCATTCGAATGACCTCTATTTGGCATGAGTAATCGAGTGCCATAAAACGATAATCGTTATTGCTGTCGTTGACTGTAAAGGGAATTGCAGAAGGGTTATCCAACATTCAATTATCAAACATTAACAAGTTACTGCATGTTTTTAACCCCCAGGAATTTTGTTTGACCTACCTGTTTGTGCAAAGAATGAAACATCCCAGTCTATGGTTGGTTCCCTCGCCATCTCCACTTCGTGGGAGTCCTCCACAGTGATTGGTGATAGGGGTGGACTTTGTTGAACAGTAATCGTTACTGCACCGCCGTCAACTACAGGGGTGGATGTTGTTGCGTCTGTCCGAATGTGTGACTGCTGTTCGTTCCCTTGTAAAAGTAAAAATACATCGATTCGATAAAATACAATATATCAGCTTACACTTCAGTGATGTTGTTGGGGTACTATTGTACGTTTACATCTAGTTTTCTCAAGAATGAAAACCTCGGAATCCTAATATATATTATATAGAATTGGAACGCTTTGTGAGTTTAAAACGTCTTATAATCAGATCAGACCTTAAAATGTGATTATACACTTACCAACATCCATTGAAAAATAAACCCGTCGATGGGAGTCAGAATCAACCAGATCATTCCCATCTACAATGGTGTTAACCCAGATCCAACCCGTTCCTGTCTCCTCCGGGACTCGTCGCAAGACCACGATTCTAAAGACAATAATTTAATATCTGTTTGAATCTGTCATGAATATCTACCTTTCTGTAAACAAATCAAGCCAGTAGCCAGCTTTTGTAAAGGGGGGGGGGGTGTAGGGAACACTCCCACCCATAAATAAATTTCCCCATTCTCAAATCAACCCCATTCGTATTGTGAAGGGAAGTGGCAGATCGGATAGCTAACAAGGGAGGGTCCCACACTTATAAAGGCCCAAAAAGGGGAAGGGTCACACTAATGTCCGCGCTCACGCAAAGAAAAAATTCGCCCAAATTTTGAAAAATAATACCCAAATTTGTAAAATACAATGCCCAGGAATGCCAGTTTTTATTTTATCTTAATTGCTCAGTTTATGTGGGGAAGATCAAGTTTCCTTCGAGAAAGCAAAACGGTAGGTCCATATTTTTTAGAAGATATCAGGGGGCGTATACGAGCCTCTCGAACCCCCTGGCTAGGGGCCTACAAATATAATTGAATTGATGAGGCAGGCCACGGGTTTTATTTTCATAGGGCAAGCATTCTCCCATCTTCGCACGCCCGCCTTCACTGCAAGCAAACGTAGCCGAGTGAACAAAAATGGTATTCTACAAGGCATATATTTTAAACATCGTCATTATTATGAGATCAAACGTTTGACTCAAACTGCTAGCCATACAAAACATATACAGTATAATGACATTAGACTTAGTCACTTGATATGGGTCTGCTCGTGTAACGGAAGGGTATTGGTGTCCTGTAGGATATTACTGACTGTTCCACAAGTCGTTAATTTGACTTGTCAATTTAAAAAAGTATGAGCTTCCTGGACTCAAGTTATGTAAGAATTTTTTGTTTTTCGCGATTTAAACCTGCTGATATAAGTCAAGTTGCAGATTATGATTTGGCGTAAAATTAATTAGACAATAAGAATAGAATTGCCCTCAGTTTTGAATTTGTTTTGTAAACGAAGCCGTACTTCATAATTTGATCTCTTGCTTTTGTTACATTAGCATTAAACCAATCTAAGACCAAATCGAGGTTTGGTAATATAATATAGTTCATACCGTTACATTGATGTTACGTCGAGGTAAAAGTTGAGGAACAGTGGGATATGGTGCATTTGTATCAACCCCCGTTGGTTTATATATACAGTAAAACGTGTCTAGTCCGGACACCTTTGACACCTGCCAAAAGTGTTCAGATTGGCAGATGCAGATCAAGACTTTATAAACATGTAAGTCAGTGGGAGATGATAAATTTGAGACTAAAATGTTGCACTGTGCTGTATAGTTGTTATGACCAGACACGTGTTAATGATTAACACTAATAATCATGTAAATGATAAAATAACCACACGTCGCAAAATTATCATTATTAGTTATTCTAAAAATCGAGCAAATTAATCATGTTGTTTTATATGAATTAAAATAAAATTGGAGACAATTTTGTTAAGGTTGTCATGTGTGCTTACCTGGACTGTGTGGGGGTAGCAAATTCAAACTTAATAGCTGACAGAACCTCCCCACTACCCATCGCTCTTGAGAAGTTGACTTGCTTGATTCGACCATGCCTCGCAAGGACATCTCCTCTTGGAATTCTCCCGCAATGATACTCCGCATGTGTGAGGCGGACCACGTGTCTGGTCCCCCTTGCATTGCGCCTATGGACAGCGGGTGTTCCGAGAGCACCCCCAACCCGTCTAGCCATCCCTCTACGACCAGTAGGAGTCCTCCTTCTACTGTTGATTGCCGCAATGACGTCCTGGCTAAAATTGAAAAAAATATTGAATTTTAATAGAGACACATTTTTGGAACACCTTGGGTTTTTTCTAAGATACTCATTTGCAGAATTTCTGTGCAGTGCCGTGAAAAAATATCATAATACAATCGGTCAATTCGAAAAGTGATCAACATTAATAACCGTTTGTGTGCGCTCCCACATAAGTTTGGGAACCTTGGCTGCCCCGTTGAGTATCCTGCTAATCTAACTTACTTGTTGAAGTCGAGTAAGGGGGAGCAACAATAATAAAGAAACAATAAACAATAATGAATTACTTTCCAAAAACAATTACAATTTCCATTCTATTTCATAAGATAAGATCTGTTAAAAATAAACATAAACATAAACCGTGAAAGTAATTTTCTTAAAGAACAGCAGAAAAACCCATATGATGTTGTCTTAAAAAGAATTATAACTATAAGTAAATGGTTACCTCCTTGGTGTTATTGGTCCTCCAGCATTTGATTGATTTAGATCCGACATGATACTAATATGTATGATAGAATATATTCCTTTTTCTTAGCCTGTAATAAAACGCTGTATAGTCCACGTGGAAAATGCAGAATAAGTGAGAGGCATAGTTGACCAGCAATCAGCATTCAGCAGCTAATTGCCCAGTAATTAATCACTGTAATGAAAGATGGGAACTCGCTTCTCATATAAACCAATTTTAATGTAACCATTAAAATAAAATGTAAATAAAAAAAGACAAACGTTTAAATAGTTGATATAGTTATATTTTTATACACAAATTAAATCAATATTTACATTAACTGGGGGTACGGATCGCCGCTGGTGTGCATGAAAGATGTAAAAATAAATTGGAATCACGCGGTTTCAAGCTATATGCATATGCGAAAATGCGTGGCATAACTTGAAAGGCAATGCGTTCCAATCTATATGGTACATTTGTATCGGGGCAAAAAGTCCCAAAATAAAAAAATAGAGACGAGACGCACTACCGACGATGCACGTAGTTCCCCCAAAGATAAATGTAATCTGATGCCAGGTCGAAGGTCAAAGCGACAGTTTGATGGCTTTCTCAGCAAGCAGTGTGTTATCATGAATGAATGAATATCGATAAGGTGGTAAAATTGTCTGGCTTGGAGAGCAGATGTTTACAAGCAACGTCGTGGAACGCAGCCTTTAAACCAACATTGTAGTGTGATATTTTACTAGTTTTCCTAGTAAACAAAATAAATAAATTCAAATGACTTTCAAAAAGTTTAATTAAAATTTCAAAAAGTTTCAAAATTAAATACATTTTATTTCATGGAGGACTATCAAGATGTATTGGAAATAAAGTCAATTTCTATATGCATGTTACCAACCTTGAAAAAAACTACAGAAAAAGACTTACATTCATACGACTAAGTAACCAAAGTGTTGAAAGAAGTACACATAATTGCAAGGGACCTAACTAAATGATGCTAAAAGCGATCTAAAAACGTACGAAAACAATAAATACTTTCATTTATGCCTGATGCTGGATGATGTCTGATTATAAAATCAATTCTAAAATCAACAAATTAAAACATCAAGAATATTAATTTGATAAAAAATATGGCATCTGCATTTCCAAGAAAAGTTGAAAGAGATGGCAGTATTGGACGACCACGAATTGTGTTGGAGAAAGAGAAAATAGCATTACTCTTGGAATATAACTTCAAAAGGCATGAACTTGGTGTAAGACCACACGAAATTTAGTGTATTATATGTATAATATAATATAAAAGTATATATTATATATATAGTTATAATATTATTAAATGGCGTATTATATATATAATATAATATAATATAATATAAAAGTATATGTTATATATTATATTCTTGTAAATGTGTATATGCATATATTTATTTATATATTTGTCTCCTCTGGTCCCCAGTCCCCAGTCCCCAGTAGTTATATATATATATATTTATATCAGTCTCCAGTCCCTCCTTTATATATGTTTGTGCATATGCATTTACATGTATTTATTTATATATTTGTTTCCTCTGGTCCCCAGTCCCCAGTCCCCAGTAGCTATATATATATTTATATCGGTCTCCAGTCCCTCCTTTATATATGTTTGTGTATATGCATATACATGTACTTATTTATATATCTGTCTCCTCTGGTCCCCAGTCCCCAGTAGCTACATATATATTTATATCGGTCTCCAGTCCCTCCTTTATATATGTTTGTATATATGCATATATATATGCATCTATTTATATATTAGTCTCCTCTGGTCCCCAGTCCCCAGTCCCCAGTAGCTATATATATATTTATATCAGTCTCCAATCCCTCCTTTATATATGTTTGTGTATATGCATATACATGCATCTATTTATATATTAGTCTCTTCTGGTCCCCAGTCCCCAGTCCCCAGTTACTATATATATATATAGGAGAGGTTTTTTTGAAAAACAATTTTGACTTTAAAGCCCCCCATGATTACCAAATTTTCTCAATTTTTTTCCTCAATTACAACAAGTCGAAAATCGATGATAAATTTGATGAATTTTTTAAAATCGACATTCCCATGTTAACCAATGGGAAATGGTAGGTTTGCCGCAAGTCATATGACAGAATATCCATCCATCTGAGTCCTTGCAAAAATACGAGTTAGGCAGGCAATTGAATTTGATAACTTTTTTTAACAAAAATTGATATGTTTCTTAAAGTGTAACAAAGTTATAGGGCTTTAAAGTCAAAATTGTTTTTCAAAAAAACCTATCCTATATATAAAGTAGCTGGGGACTGGGGACTGGGGACCAGAGGAGACTAATATATAAATAGATGCATGTATATGCATATACACAAACATATATAAAGGAGGGATTGGAGACTGATATAAATATATATATAGCTACTGGGGACTGGGGACTGGGGACCAGAGGAGACAGATATATAAATAAGTACATGTATATGCATATACACAAACATATATAAAGGAGGGACTGGAGACCGATATAAATATATATATAGCTACTGGGGACTGGGGACTGGGGACCAGAGGAGACAAATATATAAATAAGTACATGTATATGCATATACACAAACATATATAAAGGAGGGACTGGAGACCGATATAAATATATATATAGCTACTGGGGACTGGGGACTCAGGGACCAGAGGAGACAAATATATAAATAAATACATGTAAATGCATATGCACAAACATATATAAAGGAGGGACTGGAGACCGATATAAATATATATATAGCTACTGGGGACTGGGGACTGGGGACCAGAGGAGACAAATATATAAATACATGTAAATGCATATGCACAAACATATATAAAGGAGGGACTGGGGACTGATATAAATATTATATAACTACTGGGGACTGGGGACTGGGGACCAGAGGAGACAAATATATAAATAAATACATGCATATACACATTTACAAGAATATAATATATAACTATATATATAACATATACTTTTATATTATATTATATTATATATATAATACGCCATTTAATAATATTATAACTATATACTTTTATATTATATACTTTTATATTATATTATACATATAATACACTAAATTTCGTGTGGTCTTACACCAAGTTCATGCCCTTCAAAATCACAGAGATAGCTAAACTGTTGAGTGAGTATAATGTTTCACTCCATGATCACCGTGATACTTGGTGTCACAAAGCACTTTTATGAAACATATAAAGCAGTTTTTTCTTGAACTACTTGACAGCGTAGACTCAAATATACGAGAATATACTGAAGAGTAAACACATTATTTTTTGTAAGTCCTGGGAAATAGTTTCTCGTTTGAAATCACCTTTTCAAATGGTTTCGTTAAATAATGCCCCTGGTAATTATTCTGATTATCATTGTGGTCAAGGTATTATTCAGAATATTTTTATTTACAGTTACAACATTGAAATGTTGGAGACTAATTTGATTTAAATATTTGATTAATATATTCATTTCTTTATTAATTAAATGTCAAAAATACTCCTCTCGAATATATCATATCAACCCTACAGATAAACTCAACATGTAATCCCTCCCTAATAATAACCTCTAGAGTTATCTAATATTAGTTTTATTGGAATTACAAAACGTGTTTGCGTTTCACTGTGGAAAGCCAATCATAAATATGTAATCTTTCATGCCATCTTTCCATTCGCGTCAGAAATATCTAGTTTTGTATTAAATTTGCAAAATTCATAACTGAATAATGATACTTATATTTTAGACGTATCAGAACGAACCGTTCACAGACGGAAACAACAGTATGGACTTTCCAATGCTTTTGATGTCGTGTCAGATGAAGAACTTGATATATTGGTGAGCGAGTATAAAAGCAGGAATCCAGAAGCAGTAGGTATGCAGCATTACTTAAACACAACATATAAAGTATCTGGTTTGTTAAAATCCGAGTTTAATTGGTCCCTTATATAACATTCTGATACTCATCACACAATTGTGCCTTCTGTCCAGAACTAATTTGGTTGTAATTTTAACGAGAAAAGATGGTATGAATGAATGAATTCCCTTAAAATTGTAGCTTTGTGCCATGCATATATTTAGGAATTCAGCCAATATTTAATAGACCCGCTGCGATCGATCTTGAATTTGAAAGCAAGTTCCCGATGAAAATATGATAGGTCAAATGGGAAGAGCGATCATGTTTTGTTCACCTTAATTCATACTTGCACTGGTGTCTGAAGGGAGAGGGTGCTGGGGGCGACCGCACCCCCTCTTTTTCCCAGATTGTGTGCATAATGTACATTTTAG